GGGGCGGGGCTTGCCAGGTGGGGCAGCCCCAAGGCTGAAGGCTCCCAGGGGCCTTTGAGTGGTCAGATATGGGGGCCAGCGGGGATGTCCGGGCCTCAGGGCAGGGACCTCGCTGAGGTGGCCGTGTCTGGCGTTCGGTCCGCTCCTGCCCGGGCCACCTACCGGTTGTTGCCACACAGGATGGGCTGCAGGCCAGCCCAGAGCTGCACGAAGGCGGAGCACTGGCCCTGCAGTGTGTCCGGGGGCGCCGGGGCCCCCTCCTCCACGGTGGCGTTGGCGCCGGGGCCCGCACCCGCCCCAGTGCCGTTGGCTGCCCGGCCGGAGCCGCTGGGAGGCACCCCGGGAGCCCGCCCGGTGCAGGCACCCTGGGGCAGCAGCAGAGCCAGGGCCGAGAGGACGTCCACGTCCTGCAGAAACTTCTGGGCGTCCAACAGGTCTCCCAGCAGGGCCTGCAGCCGCCGTGCGGGAGGCTGCTGCTGCTGGGGGGCTGAGCCGTTGGGGGCCGTGTCCAGGCCCAGCTGTGGGGGAGGGGCGTGAGGGGCCAGGCAGATCTGAGGGGAGCAGGACTGGGGGCCGGTGTGCGGGTGGGTGCCCTGGCCCAGGTGGGGCTGCTACCTGGGTAACAGGAGCCCTGCCCAGGCAGGCACATGGGCGGGGAGCATGCTACCTTTGGGGGGCACACCCTGACACCCCGAAGCCCAGGGGTGCCCTAGAATACCAGGGAACTCCAGTCCCCTCCCCCCACAGCCAGGCCAGTGGACCTGTGGACCCGCTGGCCAGCAGGACCTCACCTGCTGCGCAATCTTGGCCATGTCCAGCTGACTCCGGAGCTCAGCGGCCAGCTCGGAAAAGCGCTGAGCCCGGGCAGCAGCCTGCCCACTGCAGACTGCCTCCCGGTACCGCTGCAGCGCCGACGGCTCACCCGGGGGTACAGGGAGCCCCTGGCCCGGCTCCCTGGGGCCCGGTGCGCACGTGACACGCTCCAGGAGGGCCGGGGCCAGCAGCAGCTCCTGGGCGGGGCAGGGGGGGGCTGGGAAGAAGCCCGAGGCCCAGGGCCCAGGCTGCGGTGGCCTCAGCCTCTCTGCCCCTGGCCACGCTCGGCCTGGGGTGTCCCAGCCCCTCGGGGGCAGACACACACCACCTGCCTCCCCTCCTGGGCCAACCGCTCGCCTGGAGGCCCTCCCTGGCCTGGAGGGACTGAACCCCACCCAGGCCTCACCAAAGGCGCCCTCACCTCCATGAGGAAGAGGGGGTGGTGACCCAGCCGGCTCCCCGGTGCCTGGCCCCTGGGGAGGCCTGACCCCACATCCGGGGCAGACGGAAGTCCAGAAAGCAGGTGGTTGACCTGGCGGGGTGGGGGCGTGGCTCAGGCCCCAAGGCTCCCCCACCCTCGATCCCGGGGAGACAGCCGAGCGTGCAGAAGGCCTCACCTGGGGCAAGTCCACCCGGCTCGCCAGGAGCGCCTGGGCCGTGCTGTTGGGCAGCGACAGGTTCCGTGTCAGGAAGCGCCAGAGCCCCCGGGGGTCCCGGGCCACCGAGTCCAGGGAGAAGGAGGACACTGGACAGGCAGAGGACAGGCCTGAGGGCCAGCACGCCCCCAACAGGCGCGGGGAGCCGGGCGCAGGCCCCGGGGAGTCGGCTCTGGGGCTGGGCACAGGCGGGCGCAGAGCCCGGCGCCAGCCCGCTGTGCAGGCCCCACCCCCAGGCACCTGCAGGCCTGGCCGCCTGGCTGTCCCCGCCGTCCCTGCTGTCCGGGCCCAGGCCGAGGGCCTCCAGGCGCTGGCGCAGGGCCTCGAGCTCGGAGCCCAGGCTGGGCCTCGCGGGGTCGAACAGGTTGCCCTCCTCCACCACGCGGCTGAGGCGCTCCAGCAGCTGAGTGACCCTGTGCGGCACGGGGGCACCGGTGGGCGGGAGCACCGTGCGGGGGGCGGGAGCACTCGCTGCAGGTGGGGCGGGAGCACGGTGTGGAGCTGGGGGGCACAGTGTGGAGCTGGGGGGCACGATGTGGAGCTGGGGGGCACCGGTGGGCGGGAGCACCGTGCGGGGGCGGGAGCACTCGCTGCAGGTGGGGCGGGAGCACGGTGTGGAGCTGGGGGGAGCACGGTGTGGAGTTGGGGGGGCACGGTGTGGAGTTGGGGGAGCACAATGTGGAGCTGGGGGGAGCACGGTGTGGAGTTGGGGGGGCACGGTGTGGAGTTGGGGCGGGGAGCACTCTATGGAGTTGGGGAGCACTCGCTGCAGCTGGGGCGGGGAGCACTCACGTGGAGTTGGCATACTGCAGGAAGCCAAACTCATCCCGCTGGCCATCGGGGCACAGCGACTGCATGACTGGCAGGATGCCAGCGGAGGTGAGGGGCGCAGCCGTGTAGAAGGCTGGGGACACAGTGGCACACCCCCAGGGCGAGACAGATGTGGGGGAGAGGAGCAAAGAACGAGAGGGAGAGGGAGACAGGCCCAGAGAGAAATGGAAAGAAGAGTCAGAAGGAAGGCAGCTTCGGGCAGAGCCCGGGGGCCGGGGCTGGTGCAGACGAGCAGGCCAGAGGTCGAAGGCAGCTGCCACCCCTCACTCCTGGACCACCCCTCGCCCTCTGCTGGTGGCTGGTGCCCTGGCCCTCCCCCGAGACTTCAGGCCTGGCCCTCGGAGCCCAGGGGGCACGTCAGCCCCACTGGGCAACGACCTCTGACCTCTCTGGCTAGCTGGTTAGCAGAGTGAAAGCGGGAGCCCAAGGGTGGGGGGGGACAGCCACCGGGCGCCCCCCCCCGGGGCCAGGAGGCCACGGCCCCACGCAGGGAGGGGCAGCCTGGGACTTGACCCACGAGCCACCGGCCAGGTGAGGCGGCCTGGCCCTTCAGTGCCCCCCACGGCCAGCCTGCAGGGCCGAGGCGGGGCCGGGCGGGCGCTCAATGCAAGCAGCAGGGTGCCGGGGCAGCCCCGGAGGCCAGCGGGAGGAGGTGGCCGCTCACTTACAGACTGCATGCGGGCCGCGGAGGACAAGACCATGCGGGGGGGCAGACAGAACAGAGGAGCACAGTGAGGGCCGCGCCTGCTCCCCAGCCCAGGCCGGAGCCCGGGGGGGCGGGCGCAGGGCACACTGGGCCGGGCGCAGCAGGGGCGCGACCCCTGCCCACCGGCGGGCCCCAGACCCTCACCTTCCTTCACAGAGATGGTGGGTTTCTTCTGCCGCAGCCCCAGCAGGATGAAGAAGAGGACCAGAGGGATGAAGATCTCGAAGGCCAGGACCCACTGCAAGGGGCGGGCGTGAGGCCGGCCGGCCGGCGCCCAGGCGGGCAGC